TTTTTGGAGCAGGCTTGAGATGAACAGCTGAAAAGGAAGGTGCTGTGCAGGAGTTGTTCACGGGACTGACGTTTGTAATCTAAGGAGACAGCCAGACAAGGGTGGAGTATAGGGTATGACGTTCAAAATGAGCTCAAGGTAACATTATTTATTGGGAGATGAATATGTAAATTTTAAACAGTGGTCCAAGCTAAGAGAATTCTATAGCTTTATAGAGGCTTAGCAAAGTTTAGAAACTGGGAGCTCTAAGCTTCGTGTTAAAAACTATTTTACTCCAACTATGTTTTCTCATATCCTATTATTAAAGATATAATAATATACATTTATATTTAATTTTAACATAGAGACTTTCGAAATCTTCAATGAAATTTTTTTTAGGAAATGATATTACAGCTTCCTGTCAAAATAAGTGACCCAAATAGCATTTCTTAATTTTTTTCTCTAGCACCTGACATAATCTTACTCCTAGTAATAATGACTTTTAGTTTTAACTAGGACAAAACTTTAGTTTCTATATAGACCTATAATTAGATAATTTATTCTTTATTGATGACAAAATAGTCAAACTGATTTATTAACAACTCTTTCGTGCAGTTGAGTCAGAAAATTTTCAGTTCTTTGAACAGTTGTCTAGTATTTAAATTTACTATACTCTTAACCATTTAATGTTAATTTCTACAGAAGCAACCCTTTCAGAGCAATAGCAGGAAGTGAGGAAAAGTCTTGGATTAAAGTTTCAACATTTTGTTCAAATAGTTCAAACTTATTCCATATTTTGATACATCAAAGTATGGATATTAACAGATGTTATGCAAAAGATAGGTTCCATAGAGGTAATTTTTGAAATGGTGGGTTAAAAAACATTTCAACAGATTTCTTGCCTATAGAACTTCTTGTAGTGCCCTCAGTTGTTATACACCAATAGATGCTGTGAAACTCCAAGAAGGAAGGGATAGTTTATACCTTTTTCCAAACACTGCTGGTCTGGCAGAACAACCCTGGGGACCTGCACTTCACAGAACACACTTGGGAAACCTTGAAAAGGAAAATTAGTGCTTTTAGTATTGTTGATAATAACTGTTGATATTATCAAAGTTACATTCTTTCAGATCTCTTGAAGTCTGTTAGAGTTACTATATGCTATAAATTTATACGGCCAAGCTTTGTGTTTGGTTTTTTACTGTATCCTTAAAAAGATTTTGCTTTTGGAGATAAGCAGTTATATAAAGCAGGCTGTTAATTTGGAAGACAAAAATTTAGAAGACAAATAATTCAGCCAGAAGTAGGTTTCATGGCCCGCAACAGAGGTTCAGTAGGAATCCATGCTTCAGAAAGAAATAAAGAAAAGCCATTTTGTATTTTTCTCTTAGAAGTGCTGTGGAGCTGTGTGATAACTAAACCTTCTGGTCAGCAATCACACACGGGGCCTGCAGGATGGATGGGCCTGCCTGCAGACAGTTTCGTTTAGCCTGTACAGTGATTTGAACATTTGAGTTAGTTTCCAACATTTTAAAATTTTGAATTTTTACATAAAAATCTAGCTACTCTTGAAAAATGGAAAAGTCTGACAGCACATCTGCAAATTATAGCTGCTTGCTAGAGCTGAAAAGTGTCTGCTTCCTTTAGAAGGAGTGATTTATCCAGTGTGTCATTGCCTGCCTGCTGTTGTGCTGGTGGCTTTGCACAGTTGTGCTGCCTGTCCGGCCCTGCAGACGTGTGGTTTCGTGTAACCCCTGCTGTGAGAGCATTGCCTGGCTGGAGAGCTGATGGGTGGTGCATTGTGGAGTCATCTGTATAAGCAAATGTGGTCAGGTTTCTCCAGGAAGGAGAATCAGTTTTGGAATTTTCACCATTTCTGGTCACATCTCTACATTTTTCCTCTGAATGTTGAGGATTTTCCTGCCCAGAATATATAGCCTACGACAGCCTATTGGACAATATACTGGAAGAGTTGTTTCTCTCTCTCTCTCTCTCTCTCTCTCTCTCTCACACACACACACACACACACACACACTGATCCCTGTATATGCGAAATTTGTATTGCTGGTATAAATTTATATTGAATTAGGACAGCTCAGTTGGTTTGAGTGTCGTCCCAATATGCCAAGGTTGTGAGTTCTATCCCCAGTCAGGGCACATATAAGAATCAACCAATGAATGCATTAGTGGAACAACAAAATGACCTCCCTCTCTCTCTCTCTCTTTCTCTCTCTCTCTCAAATCAATTCAAAAATTAATGTTGAATTAGGACAGAGTTCTAATTTCATTCAATCTCAAAACTAATTATTAAAGAAACAAAGATAATTCTTTTATTTATCTTCTGCCCCTTTCTACAAAGTACTTGAGTCAGCTTATAAAGTATGGTATTTAAAAAGTAGTAAAACGTGTGTGTGTGTGTGTGTGTGTGTGTGTGTGTGTGTGTGTAAAATATATTAAAGGGCCAGAAAATATATTCATAGAGTAAGTCAGAAAGATAGAACATGGCTATCAGGCCTGAGAATAAACCTTGGAAGATGGAGAACATGTCTTGTGTGAGAGTGAGCTTATGTTTCAGAGATTTGCCAAAATGTGAACGGAACATCTCAGTGCAAATAGGACTACATGACTTTTGCTTAGCGTGGCGAGTGTGCCAAAGTTGGCATGTATGGACATTTCTCTGATTCTGCAGTGGTACAGGCTCTGAGGAGCTGTTTTCTGGTAGCCTGGGAAATGTGTGTTTTATGAATGGGGTTAATCATTACTGTCTCCTGATTCTGCTTCCTATATTTTTACCTAATCTATAATGCCAAGAAAAGGGCAGTGGAATGGGTTGTGTGTGATGTGATGAAGTGAGGGTGGGAGGTGGGGAGCAGTGATGGTAGCTCTCAGCAGGAAGGTTTGAGATCTGCAGAGTTCTTTGAGCAGCAGTAACCCACAGCTATTATAGAAGACTGCATTTTCTGTGATTCTGATTAAATGAAACCAGAACACTGTGGATACTGCACAGGAATTGTTTTCATTTGTGAAACCAAGTGATCCAGGATCAAACTCAACTACCATAAAGTGATTGGAATTACTAGGTCTTGAAGCTGCCTTAACTACTTTATTAAGAATAAGACTAAAATAAGAGAGGGCTCTGCATAGAAAAAGATACATCCCTTTTTTTTTCCATTGGTGGCATTAGAATTGTTATTACAGTGTCTAGAAATAGTGTTTTTATTTTAGCTTGTTTATTTTTCATTTTATTTATTTATTTATTTATTTAAAGATTTGTTCTACTTGTTTCATTAATTGGTTGCTTCTTGTATGTGCTCTGACTTAGTGTGTCAGGATGGCACTCTAAACAACTGAGCTACTCAGCCAGGGCTAGAAATTGTGTTTTTGATTAAAAAATTAGTAACATATTCATGAAGGCATTTTTGACTTTGCTTTTACTTTTTTAATTTATTTTCCAATTATAGTTGGCATACTGTATTATAATATTAATTTCAGGTTTACAACATAGTGATTAGACATTTGTATACCTTATGAACTGATCCCCCTGAATGAAGTCACTTAAAAGCGATGTTTTATAATACTAGTGAATCTGCCTTTGTGGCAAATGTTAAGGGAATGCTATTTTAGTCAAATAGACCAAATTCTACAAAGAAATAACTGGATCTTTTTTTTCCCCCCATGCAACATAGGTGGAGCCAAATGCCTGAATGTTTACAGAATTGCAAACAGGTCCCGGTTCTCAGGACCTAGGGGAAAAGGGAGATTTTTATGGCTTCTGGCTAACTAGTGAAGGCAACAGTGTCATAAAAGGCAAAAAGTTAGGTGGGAGTGAATTTTGTAGGAATCATAAGGAATGTGTAGACCGTTTCTGAGCAATGCCAGTTTTAAAGTTGATTCAAAGTGTTTGGAACATGAAACTAGCAGATTTACTGCCTTTCAGATGGGAGTACTCCTAGATAGAAGCCAAACCACGTAAGAAATTTTCTTATGTGTTTCCTTGCATTAACTGTTGACAGTTGAGCAATAGGGGAAATGAAGAATTTTGTCGATACTAGGAAATGAAAATGCAGGTGCTTTGCTTCCTATCCTGAACTGTGAGGAGAAAGGAGAGGCATGTTCTGCAAGGACGGGCACCGGTATCTCTGCCTCTGCCCGCTCCCAAAACACACGTGGCTGGTCTGTTCCCAGGTGGTGCTGAAACTTGCCTTTCAGTACGGGAGGGTTTTTTGTGGTTCTGTTTTGTTTTGTTTTGTTTTGTTTTAAGCTTTTGTTTGATAATTCAGTGATGGATTGAAAGGATGTATTTAAGGTTCAGATTCTGATGAAATAACTTATTTTTTATTGTATAATAAAACAGTATAAATTGTGGGCAGGAAGTCAGATTCCCAGTTGACTGAGATATAACAAATGTACTTTAATTTCTAGGCTTTATTTAACCAGACATGTTTAGAAAAATCAGGTAAACCAAAAGTAGATAATTCAGTGTGCTTTACTCTTTGATATTGCTGGTAATACCATGCTAACTTGATGAGTATTAGTCTATGTTAAATCATATTGCTGAAAGATAAGTGTTTTAATTTTAGGGGTGATAAGAATTTAAAAGCCAGACATATAGATAATTTTTAGAAAATATTTTAAATGTTCATGTTCCCTTCCTTTAGATGAGCTCTTAAAAAGCTAGGTGCTGTACTGTGACAGGTTATAAATAGTCTGTCGTGTGCAAAAATGGGTCTGATTCAAAACCCGGAATCTCTCTCTAAAAGACTGCTTTTTTTAAGCCACAGGTGGTTTCTGAAGGTTTCATGGTATATGTCTCCAGTGTTGAGTATAGCACCTATAAGTAGATTTCCCAGGAGTCCTATTGAAAGGCACTAAATGCAGATTACATTAAGTAATAACTGGGTTTTTGTTTGTGTTGTGTATGTTGTAAAATGCACAAATCAGTGGGTTTGTGTCTAGTCACCTTATTCTCATTTGGGGTTGATGGAAATGAAGTAAGGACCAAGTAAACACCTTTTTTTCAGGTGCAAATTCGACCATGGAACCTAAGTGACAGTGACTTTGTAATGGATGGTTCTCAGCCTTTGGACCCCAGAAAAACTATCTTTGTTGGGGGAGTCCCACGACCCCTTCGAGCTGGTGAGTGGAAATAGTAACACCACAACAACAAAACCAACAACAACAAGTCTCCCCATGCATTTATTTAGTTCCTAATATTTCCTAGGTTTCTGGTCACTTACACACTATTTCCAAAAAATAGGCTGTCATGTCAGTTTCACTGAGCTGGCTCTTTCAAAATTAAAAGTTTTCTCCCAAAATGCTTTATTTCTTGATGGTACCAGAGTGAATTTCATTAAAATGTTACTTTGAAAGGATGAGTTCTATTTAGTACTTTCCTATTCAACCACATTTTTAAAAACTGGTAACAACACATTTGGCAGTGTGCATTCCTATGCCAGTTAGCATTGGTGTGTATGACAAAGAGAAGTCACCCCACCAGGAATCTGTCCCCGTGCAGCTGTGTGTCCCCCAGCGACGAGCCAGACCACTGCCAGAAGCTGTGTAACTGGAAACCAAACTGAACTCTTTCCAAAGGAAACAGGTTCCGATTTTTTCTTAGGCAATTTGAAAAATGAGTTATGTATGCAAGCATTTTTATGGTGACTTTTTGAAAAGCTTTCCTGTTTCCTGTTTAAGTTCCTTTTCAGTAATGAAATAATTGCGCCTGCTGGGATTGGACAGAATCATAACCAACTGAGGCATTGAAGTGATGCTGAGCTGGTGACATCAATATTTAAATCCAAACACAAAGCTGATCAGTTGTGGATCAATGTTACTGCCAGTGGAATATATAAAATTATTTTTAGGAACTCAGGTTTTAAAGTACTTAAAATAATTGAGTTTATATTTTTAAAGATGACAAGATAAGGTTACTGTTGCCACTGTAGTTATGAAAGTGTAACATTATCTGTGTTATTTGTAAGCAGATGGACTTAATTCTACCTAAAAAAAAAAAAGAAAAACACGATTATTAAAATCAAGTTGTAAAAACAGTTATAAAATGTAAAATGTACCCTGGCTAGTGTGGCTCAGTGGATTGAGCACCGGCCTGCGAACCAAAAGGTTGCCAGTTTGACTCCCAGTCAGGTCACATGCCTGGGTTGCAGGCTGGGTCCCCGGTTGGGGTCACGTGAGAGACAACCACACATTGATGTTTATCTCCCTCTCTTTCTCCTTCCTTTCCCCTCTCTCTGAAAATAAATAAATATTTTTTAAAAAATGTAAAATGTACCAACAGCTATTCGGCCCTGTGACTTTGATGAGTTCTTAGTGCTGAATGTCCCTCAACATTTGTAACATATTTATTTAAATCTCAATTTCAGTCTACTCCTAAAAGATTACTTTAGGCCTATATAAAGATATATTCATTATTCCACTTTGAAGGACTTTAAAACATAGTAATGACTGTAATTATGACTGTGAAGTTTGTAATTTTGTGGTATTTCAGAAAGTCAGATTTCTCTGGGTCTTATCCTCATTTTAATGGAAAACGGTGCTGAAAGAATGAAAGCAAAGCTGCAGAGATTCCCCCTAACCCCTTCCACGATCTCCCGTGGAGAATAAAGTTCAGGAAGGGCTATAACTCAAACGTGAGCAGCATCATTAGAGGGGGGTAAATGCAGCTCTTTGTTTCTAAGCTGGTTGTGCTGAAAAAAAAAATGTAGGGTGAGGTATTGTGGAAAATTCCTCACTTTTTCTAACTAGCGTTATATTTAGGAGTGGAGTGGGAGAAAAATCCCCTTTGCTGACTTTTAACAATATATGTATTCTACAAAAATGGACATTCATTGCTAGTATTGTAGCTATTATTTTTTTGCAGTCGGCTACAAGCACAAATTAGTTTTAATATTCTAACCCCCTCCTTTTTTCCTAGATGGGAATCTAAAAAAAAAATTCTGAGAAAGAAAGTCCCACAGTTAAAAAAAATAACAGAACTGGCTTTAGCCTCATGTATCTATTTTTAACTCACAAACATAATAGTTTATAAACTAAATTTCCTTTTTTATTATTCACCCTTTATTTTCCTTGAGTTAATGACCTGGAAAGATAAAGGCCTTTATATAATTTTCCCTTTATAAATCCTATGAAGATCCATTTTTCACAATTTTCTAAGATTACAGAACAGGAAACCCAAGATGCTAAATTATAGTCTTTAACATTCTGTGTCTACAAGATGCTGCAAGGATTAGACAAGAATTATATTAAGTTTTCTCATCAGAATGGGATTTTTGTGTTTCCTATGTAGATTTATAAGTCTCTAAGTTATTTTTTTAAGCCTAAGCTAAAAGTTTCATTTTAAAGTTTTGTTTTTGCAGTTAAATGGCCAGTAACCTACAGTTACTTTGTCTGATGGAAATGTCCCTTTATGCCAACACCTCCCATAATTGTAGCTGGCTGCTAGATGGCTAAGTAATCTGTATTAGTGTCTTAGACTTTCACTATCTATCTAAGACTTCCGGATTGGATGCCATGCAATCTAAACCAAAAAAGTTAACATCTGCAGCTTTTATCCACGTGCGTAGAATTGGGTTACTCTGGAACACACTGAGCTCTGTAGACTGGTGTGTGCCTTGGAATAGAAGGCTATTTTTAAAGGAATCCATTTTGACTTCGCTAGATCTTAAATTGAATACAGTGCAGTTCAGCTGAACAGTAACATTTATTGAGCATCCACTGTATTGCTGGCACTGAGCAAGGGCATGCCATGCCAAAATGAAAGAACTCACTGTCATGTTAAACTGGTCATCATCAGCAGAAAGTCACAGATTTCAGAACAGGAGAAAACAAAAAATGTATTAATAGAATGCTAACTCAATTAATTGGATGCTAAATTATACTCTTTAATATTTCTTAAATTTGGTTTTTAAATACTTTAAGGCATTTTTTATTATTTCCAGAGGGTGTGTGATTACAGAATTATAAAAATTCTTAAAACTATTTCAGGCCCTATATGCAGAGTGATCCTGGCCCAGGTATGGGTGACAGTACTCCACAGGCAGGACTTTAGGTGTCCAGATTGATTTTCACCTTATCATGGGCCAAAAGTGGTCCTTTAACATGGAATAGTGACTATAATATTATCACTTACAAGTTATTCCTATGGATCTTGTGAGGCTGTTTATTTTAGATACATCCCTTTTTAAGACAAGACCATTATTACTAATAAATAGTATAAATATAGCCCTTACTCCACCAAACAGAAATACACAAACACTTTTAAACAAAAAAGCCAATCTGTTTTAAGCAGTATTATCCCGAGTTCAGACTGTGCCTTCTGGTCCTTTGAGGAGCTCCCTTTTTAAAATTCAGATCGGAAAAAAAATGATAGGCCTAGAAAAATGAACCTGAAAATGGGAAAATATCATGGAAAAATCTAGATGAGTTTACCCAAAGCGAGATTGCCTGATTGCTGGTTTCTCTAGGTCAAATAATACACATTCCTACCGTCTCTTCTCCCTCCCTTCATCACTCCTGCCAGTGACGGTGGCAAGCCAAGGACAGTTTGCCTGAAGTCTCCTGGTGTTTCTCAGGTCATGTTCTCCTTCCACTCCCCACCTCTTCTCACCCCTAAGCAAGGAAAGGCTGTAGGTAGACTCATCGTGCCACCAGGTGGCTAAAATGTACATCCTTTTGCAGAGAGTCAGTGCAGGGAAAGGGGTAGTCTGTCTGGTCCTCTACCTGGAAGTACAACAGCATGTTTCCACTCTTCATTCAAGGGATGTACGCACAGTGTCTTCCTGAGTCTCAGTGTAGAAATAGCCCTGCTGCATATCCCTGTGGCATCAGGGCCTCCCTAGAATGTATCTCTTTGCCCTGAGGGGAAATAAGTGCCAGGCTTGGGGATAGCAGGGAGGCTGCCAGCAAAAAGTAGAGAATGAAGCATCTGGTCCCTGTACTCAGAGCCTTCAGTTTATAAACATGAATATTCTCTGGCTTAGGCATCTAATTTGAGTGTTGCCTCAGCGATCAAGCTTTGGGACCCCTCCACTTTCAGCTTTGATCAAGCTTGAAAAACCGCCGTTGTCCTCTTTGATTGAGTCATGTGAGCTGTTCTTCCCCTTCCTGACATCCTCCTGAGAGTTTACCAGGCCAGGTCCTGCAGGACAGGTCAGTCTTGAGAGACGGCTCATCTGAGTCCATGGCCCTGCCTTCCATTTGCTCATCATCTTCTGGTCTCCTGCCTTTCCTAACTATTGCTCTGATAAAGCTTTCCTGTCTTTTTCTCCCCTACTGATGTTCTGTGATGAACCCCAAAATTTCTTTCTCTGCCTTTTTTCCGTCTCCGTCTGTTGTGAGGATGGCTTTTCTGTGAAGGAAAAAAAAAACTTTGAGGTAAATATTCAGTGATATATGACATATATGTAGAGAACATACATCCTGAATTTTTCTAAGAGCATTTATTTCAGGCATGCTATGCAGGCATTCTTACAGTTCACATGTATTAGGAATAATTGTAACTGTATTCTTTTTTTTATTGTTCTATAAAGTTGAAGCAGGCAGAAATCATCTTATATCAAGTTTCTCAGTAGTAGAAGCTTTTTCTTTCACCAAGTCCCAAGTTCAGTATGAGCTGTCCCAGATAAGCTCCAGATTTGGCATACTGGCTTGATTAACTGCATTGCCCATGGGTTAAGGATTTTCTAATGTTAGTATGTGTTTGTGTTCTCTGTCCCCCACAGCTAATGTCAAACTTTGCCGTATCAGTGGCAGGCTGAGTAACTTTAGCATAAGGCCAAAGTAAGACTAGGATGAATTGGTGATTATGGAGCAGGAACCAAGCGAAGTTAATGTTAAGCAAAGATTTATGAGTAAAGGGAAAATAACCCCTGGACGAAAACTAAACATTTGAGCACTACTTGTTGCTGAGTGATGTGTTCAGAGCTCTCCTGTATGTTTAATCCTCATGATAAGCTGTGAAGTTTAAGTGGTAGAATTCATTTTAGAGATAAGGAAGCAGGGTTTAATGCCAGTGATCAGCCCAGGCTACAGTAAGCAAAAAGGCTGAGATTTGGTCTCTGTAGCAGAAGTAACAGTTAACTCGGTGCCAGTTTGATTGAATCAAGTTAAACTCTATCTCTCTGCCTTAGTTGGCTATTCATACCATTTATTTGAAAATATCCTTAACTTCCCAATACCCAATGCAAAATGAAAGCTTATGAGCACATTTCCCCCATTTAAGATATGTGAACTGCCCTTGTGAACCAACTTGGCCATTGTAAACCCAGAAAGTCCACCTTCAAGTTGAATTCGTTTCTTTCAGAAGTCCAGACATCATCATCATCATCTTCAGGTGCTTATGCCTCTTTCCCATCTGCTTTGTTTTTATTTCCAAAGAGAAGAAACATGGCTTCTAGATTTGCAATTTAGAATCTGGAAAGACGAATGTGTTGACGTTTCTCTTGGGAATCCTCATTCCTGCTCTACTCCATTTGTTTCTCATAGCATCTCTGACTTAAATACTACCTTATGGCTGGTTTTGAAGTCGAATTAAATGCTAAGAACAAACCCTGGGGTGGGGCAGGACGAACAAGTCATGATGATTTCCTCTCTGGTGAACTAAAGTCCCTTTCTGACCTCTGTGAGGAATCAGGGGCAAATCCAAGGAGTCGTCATTGGGGTTCAGACTCAACGTCAGAGGCAGAGTCACCACCACCCAGAGGAGTTCATGGGAATGTTGTGTGCTACTCACAGCTGTGATATTCTTGGTTCCGCCTTCAGTGTGTGGGCAGTGAAGCTCATCACAAGAGCCAGGGTGTGAGGGAGACATTTGGTAGTGCTGGTGTTACCAGGGAACAGGTGTTTGTGACATTACTTGAGTTGTGTTAGGAGCACAGAGCTTATTCTAAGTACAGAATGCCCTTGGATATAGCTACCAGACCTGCTAATTTCCCACCCCTGTGGTGTTCAGACAGATCCTGCGAACACTGTCTGGGTAGGAAGGGAAAAATAAAGTGGTCTGGAGACTCCTGACTTGACTTGTTCATGGACCCTGTCTATGCCTGCTGTCACCTCCATCTGTCTGAATTTCAGCCCTCAGCCGTATGCCCTGCTCCGCTGGCCTCATCTTCCTTGGGTTACATGTTAAGAATGTGGCCCTGGCTGGCGTAGCTCAGTGGGTTGAGCGTGGGCTGTGAACCAGGCATTGCAGGTTCAATTCCCAGTCAGGGCACATGCCTAGGTTACAGGCCACGGCCCCCAGCAACTGCACATTGATGTTTCTCTCTCTCTCTCTCTCTCTCTCTCTCTCTCTCTCTCTCTCTCTCTCTCTCCCCCCTTCTCCTTCCCTTCCCTCTCTGAAAATAAATAAATTAAATCTTTAAAAAAAAAAAGAATGTGATTTTGGGAGCTACACTGTCTTTGCCCTCTGCAGAGGACAGTTTAGAATGTGGATTCACTGTCACAGGCTTAGTAGGTGGTTTGGCAACATTTTCCAGAGAATATGCATTTCTGATCAAGGGCTCACATTTTCCTGAGCAAAGTCGGGACACAAGATATAGATAACCCGTGAAGGTTTTAGTTACTTTCTGCAACATCCTTACTGCCTTTCTTCTACTTTGCTCTCCTCCTCCTAAGTAGTCAAAATGGTAGCTCTCTTCTTGCCCCCATCAGACGAGGATTTACAATATATATGGGACTTTCCTATATTAAGTGATGATACTCACTATAAAGAAGCCTTTAAACCTAGTCTCTAAAAGTAGTTGTATATTCTGACATAGGTAGGTGAATTTGTATTTTCTGTATTAAAAAAATTGTTTCAGATGAAAAATGTACAGGGCTTGAGGAAGGCTTGCTCTGTGTTTGTCAGTCATCTACCTAGTGAATGAATTCAATTACATTTTCCCCCTAAAGCTGTAATTAACAAGTGGTTACTTTTGTCAATGTCATTTAAGTACTAAAGAGAAACTGTTCAGCCCATGTAAGTGACATCCCTCTGGCGTGAGTTTAGCCTGCAGGATTGAGCAAAGGAGCAAATACAAATAGTTGTTTGACCATCATTTACCTTTCTTCACAGGTGATCACTGTGGTAGGTCTTTTGTAATTAAAGTAGAGATTAGGGTAGAAAGAGATATGGGAAATCTTCATACTCTTCACCCAAAAAGCTCTTTCTTTAGTCACCTTGGTTGTTTCTAACTTCTCAACAAATAGCCCTTCACTTAAGTGAAATCTCATTGGCTCAAATGTCTGCAGACTTTTTGGTGGCCAAGAAATTGACTGTATATAATAAGGTTATACCTGGAAATGATTTATTTATTAGTTTTCATAAAAGTGTAAGGGAGTGAGGGTTTCTGTTTCCTATCAAAAGACTTAACTGCCAGCAACACAAGTCATGACCTAGTCTTTGGCACGTGAAGATGATTTTCCAGCAGCTAGATTTATGAAGTAATGGAATGTTGGTGCTTGTGGAAAGCGCCTCTGGCATCCTGGGACCCCCAAGATGCCTCCGGAGACCACTGTGCTGTAGAAGAAGCTGTGGCTACAGTGACTCTCCTCGTCAGCTGGAGCCGTAGGCTTACAGCCAGTATACCTTCCTTCTAAATCAGACGCTTCCTTGAGTTCCTCCTCAGAGTGGAAGACAAGTGCATTCAGTCCCTTGCCAGCATTCTTCCCCTGGTCGTTCACCAGGCTGAGGGAGTGTTTACTCTCTTGTTCCATTCCAGAGGAAGCCGGTGCCTTGGAAAATTAGTGTTTAATTTCCAGGCCCAGAGGTTACTTATTTTCATAAGCCCATTTGACCAATAAGGGAAATTCATTAATGACTACAATTAATTAATTCTGCCTTTAGTTTCTTGGTGTCTGTAACTGGAATAACATTAGCCAGGTGAGGAGGCTTCCTCAGGCCATCGGAGGTTGTTGGATGCAGTACACGGATCCAGGGAACGCTGGCATTCGGAGCATGTGCACCGTTACCGCTGCCTCGCTTGAGTGAGCGTGGTCCCTGGACCCTGCCCCAGACTGCCTGTGGGATCTGTTGAGTGCTGGTCCGCGGTGTTCCTTTGGCTGACGTGACTCAGTGATGCTGATCATAATGGGATCATCAGGATGGCTCTCTGCTGTTCTGTCTTTAATACATATTCTTGGGCTTAGTGATAGCCAGCTTCTTTCCTCGCCTTCTGAACATTACCTGCTGGTTGCGGGTCATTCTTCCTATAAAAATAGGCACTTAGAAAAGTTCACCAATATTAGGTGCTGTGGTATGGGGAGGAATTTTGCAGTTAAGTAAAAAGACAGCCTTTCTGTCATGGCAACTTAGCTGTTCTTACTGCCTCAGCAGCTTTATATTACAGGAACCCTGTAGTACTTGGCCTTCCTTCTGCTTGTAAAAGTCTAATGGGTTCTTCCACCATTGAGCCTGTGCATCTGCTGCAGATCTCTTCCTCTGCCCACCCCCTCCCCCGCCCCAGCTGTGCGGCTTTCCTTCTCCCCAGATCCTTGGGGCTCTGCTCCGCGATGGTCTCTGCCCACTCGCTGTGGCCCAGGTCATCATCTGTCTTCACTGCCCTCTCCTTTCCAAATACCGTATATAGGTGTTTGAGGGGAGCGGGCTCTCGCGCCCTTCCCCAGGGGTAGGGCTAAGTCTTTTGGTCTTAAACCATCTAAGTGGCCTGAAAGGAATGGTCATACCTGGAGGAGGTGCCATCCAGTATCAAGTAAACCATTGCCTTCAGGAAATTTGGATCCAGGTAAGTAACTGCTACATTTCTCTCCATAGTACCTTTATGGTGAGGATAATTTTAAAATATCAGACTTTTGGAATGAACCAATTTCCAAATGCTTTCTGTACAAAAGTCGTTTTGTAAACATACCGATATAAAGATATGTTTAGAAGAAGTGTGACAGGGACTGCAGACCAGACCTCTGGATTTGTAGCAGGTGCAGGATGGGTGTGTCTTTACTGCCTCCACAGCAGCCTGGTGTCCCCGGGCACATCATCGTAAGAGCGCAGTATATGTCCACGGCTGCTGTTATCGTTACTAGTGTTACTTAGAGTTTAATGGAAGAGGTCAGTGTGGAGATCTCTCAGGTGGGATGAAATATATTTTAAAAGTCTTTTTTTCAATTGTAGAGATTTACTTTAAGGCAGAAATGTATTACCTCTAGTTAAAATGATGAGTTAATTCTTTCTATAGCTTAACCTTAAACAGAGCAGTGTAACTTTAGTAATTGCTTTCAGTCTTAGAGGTCAGTAAGGAACACTTCTTATTAACTTGCTAGGGCACTGTGAAATGCTTTGCCTACCCAGAGCCCACTCCAGGAGACTAGGTGGTTAGAAATTAGAACAAGAGGATTATTGATACAGCATTTCTTTATACTGTTGCTCAAGTTCTGATTATGTAAATTTGTGCGTGTGTGTAAATTCTTTCTTTTTTCCTTCATTTTGTTTTTAAATATTCTATGAGGAGCTCCCTACTTGGGTCGTAAGACCGATGTGGACACTCTTCATGATACTTGACATGGGTTTTCTTTTTCTTAATTACACTGCATGACCCTTAAATAGTTCTTCCTTCTCCCAGTCAAGAGTGCCTTCTAAACATTTATACAGAATTGTGTTTATTTTCTTGCAGTTGAGCTGGCAATGATCATGGACCGTTTGTATGGTGGTGTCTGCTATGCTGGCATTGATACGGACCCAGAGCTGAAGTACCCGAAAGGTGCTGGCCGCGTGGCATTCTCCAATCAGCAGAGTTATATCGCAGCCATCAGTGCTCGCTTTGTGCAGCTCCAGCACAATGACATTGACAAACGGGTAAGCAGCTGCTTAGGGCATAATTGCTGTGGGAAAGAAATGATGTTCATTCTCTGGGCACCTGGGAAGAAAAGCACCTTGTGTTCATAAGTGAGCAGCTCTGCTTTACGTGGCATTAGCCCACAAGTCCACTGGGCTGCCTGAAAAAGAGAGCACCCTTGGTATTTAAGGTGTTAATGAATCCTCTGCTTCACTCATCCCCAGAGTGATGTTACACTTATGAAAATAACCTGGCCAAATTTAGCGTACCAAGGCAGTGCTGTTCAGATGATGCCAACAATGCATTAACGAAGGTGGAGAGCTGGTGACCTATTTGACCCATGTGGTGCTCTTAAAACAAACAAATCTGGCCCTGGCTGGATAGCACAGTTGGTTGGAGTGTCGTCTCAATATGCCGGGGTTGTGGGTTTGATCCCTTGTCAGGGCACAGACAAGAATCAACCAATGAATGCATGAGTAAGTGGAATGACAAACTGATGTCTCTCTCTCTCTCTCTCTCTGCCCCCCTTCTCTCTCTCTAAAAATCAATTTTTAAAAAAATATTTAAAACAAACTTAGACTGAAGTTTAATGTTTATGTTCAACAATATACATAAAATGTTTAAGTTTTGGTTTCTCTTAAAATTGCAAGATCACACATGGTAGCAGTCATTGGAACCAAGTAGCTATTGTTCCCTCCAGTCCTCCTCCAACTCCCTGTAGTTCTGCTGCTCACACCATATACCTTATGCCTGCCTCTCTGCCCATTCGCATCACCTGCCTGGCCACTAGAGGCATCCAGATTTTTACTTGTGGTCTAAAGAGGGAACATGAGGTAGATTTATAGGGAGTTGCTATGCTTGGTTGGTTTTGCAAAAGGCATAGGTTTCAACTCCTTAAATCCCAGCTCTGGCACTTGGGGGAATGGAAGATAGTGGGTGTTAATCTGGGACCTGAGTAAAAGAGCAAGTAGGAGAAGAGCATGGAGTCAGGAACACCTGCCTACACAATGGCTGTTGTTATACATTGGCTGTTAATGCTTCCAGCAAAGGGCATTCTTGGGGGATATACCGAACTTGGATAAAGTAGTAAATATGTTTTTTTTTTAATGAAATTTCACCTATCCTCTCTTTGGTTAATTTTGACTTATTTTGTGTAGCAGACTTCAGTTTCTTGGGGGATGAAAGTTTCAACTAGTGATGGATTTTTATGTTCAGCAAGATTATACTTTTATTAGGACATATATCTAATCAAACATTATAAAAGCCAGTGCTAAAAAAAAACACCCTGTTTGCTATATCACTGGGCTCCTTAAAAGTAAGTAGTGGTGGTTTCTTTTTTTACTTCAAATGAATAAAGTAATTCTATTTCAGAATTTTGAAACAGTTTCTAGAAACTCAGAAGGGTGGTAAAGTTTTGACTCCATTCCTAGTTTCCCCCAGCATCCTCACACGGCATCCTCAGCTTCCCCCTTAGTACCAGCAGTCTTCCTGCAGGCTGCAGGCTCCACACAGATGGGCGCGGTGTCTGCCTCATTCTTTCTTCATTCCCAGTGCTCACCCGTGGCTCGATGTATAGATGCAGGAAGAGGTGCTTGATAAACCTTGGTTAAACTGACAGATGGTGCCACATGAAGGGCTCTCCTGACTATTACTGCCATAGCTGGTGGATGTTTGTACCTGTATGCTTCTGAGTCTGAAACCCCAAACCCCATGGCATTGAGACTGCTCTTGCAGCTGTTGCAGTACACTCAACCTGAAGAGCCTTAGGTTCTCATCAGTGCGAAAGCAGCTTTCTTTGTTCCCCTCTGACACCGGAACTAGTGACTGTAGAGGAGGTAGGCCCTAGCCATGATAAATGAACTTCCATTTCCTCATGCTTCTGTCTTCCCCTTGCTCCTGGCATATTCCTTAGTAGAGGGACGCACACTCACCCCAGGGACTGTGGTAACTGTTGAGCCTCTTCAGCAGTCACAGTAAATTCAGATACTGTCTGTTCTGTTGCCTACCCTATGCTCATCCTTGCTGCGCTCAGGGCCTCCGTATTTCTTCCCACAAGACTTAAGGCAAGAAAGAGACAAGTGGCTTTGCTTTTGTTAGCATGACAGTAGGCCATGCTGGGAAATGTGTTTGTAACATTAAACTTCTCAGGACTCAGGAAAGCCATTGCCTTTTCTACCCACTGCATTTGGGCTAAGCATACCTTCCTTGTCTTCCTTGGTAATCATTTAGGGTAACAGCCAGTGACAGTGGAAAGAGTATGGAGCTTGGAGCTAGAGCACATTCCGATAGTTTTATCGGAATAAAACTGCTGCACCAGTCCCTGGTGACCCCAAGCAGGTTGCGTAATGCCAGCAACCTCTGGTCTTCATCTGCGACTCCCTCTTGGGGAAGGTCTGGAGATTAGATGGGATGTGAGGGTAGAACAGCCCGAGCTGTATGGCAGTTAGGCAGATGTTTAACTAGCACTTGCTGGTCAACAGTATTCATCTTGCACTTAGTACTGATGTCATTAACATTACATAGCTTGAATTTTGTTGGTTGCTCTGCTAGCGATACAGTGAAAAGTGAATGCACTGGTTAGTGAAAAGAGCACTGGGTCAGAGTCGGGTTGCTGGGTCTAGAGCTGGTTTTTGTTCCCCAGGGGCTGTGTGACTTTGAACAGGTCACTTAAATTCTGAGCTTTGGTGTATAATGAGGGCAGTTGAGATAGCCTTGTGCATCTCACAAGATTGTTGAGAATCCCAGGAGAGAGATTAAACAAGAAAGTAGTGTTCGTGTGTTTATGTGTGTGTGTGTGTATAAAACATAGTGTACAGATGTGTAGTAGAATCTTGGTCGTCACAAGAATACCACCTCCATCCACCTGGAGTCAAAAAGAGACTTGCCTGTTCCTTCAGCACCCTCAGATGAGAGCCATCTCTGTGGGAGAGTAGGAGTCATTGAGTGTGGGAGTCCCTGCTTCCACCTTCACCTGCATGCTGTTTGCGTGCACCAACCAACGTGGAAACTGCTCCACGAGGAGAGGGGAAAGCCTGCTTCCATCTTGAGTTGGGCTGCTGTGTCAGAACTGGTCTGTGAACATCATACTTCCTCCCCCGACACTGCTATTCTGTCCTCTTCATTTCGGTTGGACACAGCCAACACTGCCCTGTTCTGTCATCTGGCATTTTAAGCCTCTAACTGCACCCTTCCTAGATGTTTTTTAAGGTTCATTCCTAGTTTTATTTTTATTTATCTTTCTCCTAAAGCTTAAATTTGAGCTTTGCAGAGGTCTCCCATTATATACAGGGTGGAACAAAAGTAGTTTTACAGTCATAATACAAAAAAGTAATAGTTAATAGATAATAATACACGAATAAACTCTGTTTTGCATACTTACAACTGTCAGTCTACTTTTGCCCCACGCTGTGTAAGCATGGCAGTATTTCCTTAGGTGATGGCCTCTTTCTTAGGGGCCCTTTTGGTGATTGTCTGTAGTGAATTTCTTCTTTTCCAAATAACTCCTCCAGATTTTTAGCAATAGTCTCATAGCTAAAGTTTGGAAACTTGCTGTCCTCAGAGGCAGAGGTACACGGTCACGGTCCCTTTTCCTTGCTATTGCAGATTCCCAGATGCTACAATCTCTTTCTCTTTCCTTCTGATGTTATCCAGAGTTGCCTTTTAAACCAAGACCTTGGCTATTTTAAATAGCATCAGCTTTTATTACCTTTCTGGTCAGAGGAGCCTCCTTTGCTGTCTGCATCAGTATAAATCAGATTCAGTGAATATTTTTTAAAAACTGCAGATGGAATTTTAAAGGTCACTTGCTTCCTGTTTGCAACCCTTACCCCGTTCACTGCTTGCTCCATATGGAAAGTTGAAGAGGGCAATCTGTTTGTGAACATATTCTCATAGTTGCACAGCCAGTTTTAGAACATAGGAAGGGGTGTTTTAATGGACAGGCTTCAAGTGTGCAGTGAGAGGATCCACTGAACAATAATGCTGGTGGAAAGGGTGCTGCGTTTATCCTGTGCAATTTTACTCAGCTCACTGTAGGGAGGGGATCCTACTTATTTAACATGTACTTTTCACAGTTACAAGAACAAGGTCACCCAGGCCAGTAGGGCAAACTTCTGATTACTGCTATGGGAATTAGGGTCCCCCAAGACCATGTGACCTGTCAGGGTGGGCTGGCAGATGCACACTTCAGCAGACTGTTCGCCGTGATGTGTCTAGCAGTGGAAGGACTACCAGAGGTGGAGGGGCTTCTCATGGCAGTTCCTCACCGTAGCAGAGCTGCCATGATGTTGACACTGCCACCTGTGCCCAGAGGCCTGAATGGGGAGCGCTTGGGACGTGGGTGGCATGCAACAAATGTATAGAGCACATTTGGGTGATAAGTGGGAGAGCAAGGACTGGAAGCAACCGTGGGAGTTTATCCAGAGTGCTGGAGAGCGTCCCTCTCATCTCTCACCTGGACACGTAGGACAGCTTTCTCATTGTCTCCCCAGTTCCTCTGTAGCCCATCTCCAGTTCATCCTTAACATAAAAACCAGGGGGTCTTGTAAAATTATGTGTGAATCATGTATTACCTCCTTTGAACCTTTTCACTATGTTCTACTGCCCTTAGGATGAAGGTGGAGTTTCTCACCACTGCCTACAGGACCCTCATAGACTGCATAGTTCTTCTGCCTTAGTGCTTTCTTCCTCATCTTGAGCCAGTTAGAGCTGGCCCTTTTCTCTGTTTTTCAGGATTATTAGATACACTCTTCCCTCTGCCTGCCTAGTACCTTCTTTTCCTTAAGTAATCAGCTTAGTTGTGGTGTTCCTAGGAATCCTTTCTTCAGTAGAACCTCTCTCCCCGCCATGCATCACTGTCATAATGCCATCCGCTATTCCTTTGTGGCTTCAGTAACACAGAGGAACAGCGGATAGCATTAAAGCCACAAAGAATAGTGGATGGGTAGGCTGGTTTCTTACTATTACGAGACCAGAACATTAAACGAAGTAAATCTGTAATTAATGCTTTAATGTCCATCTA